ATTTAGGTACATACATTTACCAATTTTGGTGATAAATAGGCATTATGTATTAGTTTTTGTATAACGCCTGAACAAAAACAAAGGGTAATATTTTGGTGTTATACATAGATTTCGAATATAAAAAATATATAATTTAACTAATTAAGACATGACAAAAAAATTGAGGTATGTCTCGTTTCTGTCGGGTCTGGGTTTTTTTTGTATGGGGCGTGACCGTTCTTCTTTATTTGCCACATATCGTCATAATGTTAATCTGGGTTATAAACAATAATACTGTAAAGTTTCAACAAAATCCGTTCAGCAGTTTTTGCGTGAAAGAGTAACAAACATCCAGACATCATGACATCCAGACATCCAAACTTTCGCCTTTATAATATTAGTAGGATATTTCACAAGCCAAACTAACATTTACTATTTAGCATTTACTTACAGTAAATATTAGTTTGGATCGTGAAATATTTAAAATAAAAAAAGAATGAAACAAAATAGGGTTTCAAATTACCTATCTATAATCTAATATTATAAAGAGGTAAAGTTTGTGTGTTTGTATATTTGTTAAATTGTAAGGGGTAATCTCGGGATCTACTGAACCAAGCTTCCAAGGGCCTACCGATAGGTCGGGTGACGTAATCTTGAAATTCTTTAAGCCGGCGCAGAACTTCCAGAAGGTCAGGCGACGCCACTTTGAACCGTGTTTACTTCTGCAGTTATATTTCATATTTATTCGATTCTAGAATATATTCCCAAAAAGTCTGTAAGGTGTTTTAATTTGTATCACTTGGATATGATTTGTATTAAAAAGTGTTGTGAGTGTGACGCTTGAAGGGAAGGAAGTCGACCTAACCTAACCAACTGCGTATTTCTATACTATGTAGCTGGAAATTGTGGCGGGAGCTCTTTGGCGCGCTGTCTTCGGCGAAGAATTGCGCGCGCAGATTTTGACAGCGCGAAATACCTACTTTAGCAGAAATACCAAGCCTTAAGCGGTTTAGATTTTTCAGACAAAAGTATTTTCTCGCTAATTCCTGTTCCTGTGGGAATTCCTAAGTATACTATAACCTGCCCAGGAATATGAAGAATAATTTTACCAAGTTTCGTTAAAATCCGTCGAGTAGTTTTTGTTTCTAGGAACATACAGACAGACAAAAAATTTACTGATTGCATTTTTGGCATCAGTATCGATCACTAATCACCCCCTGATAGTTATTTTGAAAATATATTTCATGTACAGAAAGAAGAAAAGTTCTGGAATGGAGGCCGCGTACCGGAAAACGCAGCGTGGGACGTCCACCTACAAGGTGGACCGACGACATCGTAAAGGTAGCAGGGAAGCGCTGGGCGCAGGCCGCTACCAATCGAGCAACATGGAAAGCATTGGGGGAGGCCTATGTTCAGCAGTGGACGTCCTATGGCTGAAATGATGATGATGTACAGAATTGACTCTCTACAGATTTATTTTCATTTATTTATTTAAAAAAAAAAATATATAAGTAGTATATCCGTTAAGCTAGCACCCATAACACAAGCATTGAGTTGCTTACTTTGGGGCTAGCTGGCGCTGTGTGAAATTGTCCAAAGATTTATTTATTTATTTATTTCCAGCTGCAAGACATTCTCTACGACGATGTGTTTGCGTCGTACATAGAGCATCCGCGGCTCTTGAACGTTGTGTCGCAGTTCATCGGCGACAACGTCTCTGCGATGCACACCATGCTTATAAATAAGCCTCCGGGGACGGGACGCCATCCTCCGCATCAGGTAAGATGGAAATTGATGATAACATCCTATAATCCGAGCCTTTTCAAAGTGAGAGTGAGCTACAGGGCAGATTACACCGGTCAACAAAAAAAAAATTTTTTGCGCATGGATTTTACTTATTATATTCTGATTATAATTTGTATAAAAAAGTGCGATTACAAATTGAAAATATTTGCTTTTTAAGAAGTTATAGCGATTTGAATTTTCCATTTTCATAGTAGAATTAGAATGTCTATAAAAATGCACGTCACATTCTCAATGGGAAACATTTATAAAAGCAAATTCAGAACAATTTTGTTGTTATTCTTATTTCTAGGTATCAAAGCAATAAAAATACGCTATGCATAACCCGTGCGCAAAAATACTGTAGACAGTTGTTATGTACTATACTAGACTGCATGTACCTCACTTAACATCAGGTGCGATTGCGGTCAAATACCGACTTTGTTCCGCATAAAAATAAAAAATAAAAACATCCTTCGCAACAGAAAAAGTAGGCTATTTTGTTTGTGTAAATGACATCACAATAAACATATTGTATATATGCTCTATTTTGACAAAATCTATAGGGGGTTGTTTCTAGTGCTTTACTCAGTCAGTTCCTGAGGTATGGGGCGGCACGGGAGACGTGACATTGACATATTATGACAAGACTGAGCATATAAAGCATATCTGTGGGTCTAGACAAAGTGCAAATTATAATCGCAAACCAGTCGAAAAGTGGTCGAAAAGCCCCTTTTTTGAATGGAGTTTTGACGGATTCGATTTACCAGTCGAAAAGTGGTCGAAAAGCCCCTTTTTTGTATGGAGTTCTGACGGATTCGATTTTCGATTCGATCTAAAAGTGCGTTTTGTCTAGGGGGGCTGAAGTCTCGCTGATGTTTGACGTCTCAAAAACACCCTCCCGTGCCGCTCCCATACCTCAGGCACTGACCTATAACTCTTTATAAAGCCCGGTCTGTGAGCACGTAGAATTTTGTCCAATGACCCCAAGCTACCCATCCTTATTGCTCGCGCGTAATTATGTTACTGTCGCGCTCGCACACTCACTGCGGGCGCCCGTCGCACAGTCGCGACAGCAATATAATTACGCGCGAGCGATAAGGATGGGTAGCTTGGGGTCATTGGACAAAATTCTACGTGTTCATAGACCAGACTATAGCACTCCATAAAGTGATAATTTTTAAAATAAATACACAAATTATTCGCCAGGACATATATTATTTCCCGTTCCGCCCGGCACACAAGATCATAGCGGCGTGGACGGCCATAGACGACGTGACCATCGACAACGGATGCCTGTACGTGCTGCCTGGCAGCCATAGAGGAGAGCTGCACAGCCATGGGTACCCTGAGGTGAGTTATCCGTAAACGGGAATATTCCCACCTCTCGTTCCCACCACTGCAACTCCTGTGTAGCCAGAATCTACAGCTTGACCGCCATAAAACCCAACCAGTGAAGGTCAAGTTTGTCCCGGGGGACAGTTAAACTGTCATTGGACCCGCAACGAAATTAATCAGAAGAACATAGGAGGAGTTCGAAGTTCTTAGGAGGAGTTCGAAATTATCTGTAAAGATACCAACTGGGTTATATAAAATCATTGGGGCATGATTGTTGAGTAGTGGATGTCTCCAATTCATTGGCGTTTCATCTCTAGTCCACACTCCAGTCACGCTCCAATTTCATTCCAGCTGAAGTGCAATTTAAAATGCACGCGGAAACAAAAACAAAACGAGAGATTGGTGCACTTTCTTTCCATTAAAATTCCGAACACCTTATATTTTAAACCAAAATTACTAAAACACAGAAAATATTTGTGAAGCGTTTGATTTGCGTGTGAGATAAAGTAGCTTTCTGTCAGCATTTACTCTAAGAGTAGGCGCACACCGTTGATTTTTCGTCGTCCGATAGTTTAGTCGTGCAGTTGATCAGTATGGGCATGTATGGGAGTGCGCACACTACGCCGATTCGATTTGGCCAATTCTTCATACAATTTAAAATCGGGCACAACTATCGGCCAACTAAAAATCAACGGTGTGCGCCTACTCTAAGGCACAGTTGCGTTCCGATGACGTTACAACATCGAGACAACAAGAACTAGCTGTCAAAACGACACCGCGATACGGATTTGTCAAAACAGCTGAAGTCCGTTCGTTGTCCAGTCACGTTGCAGTTGACAATTTTTAGCGCAATCGGGGCCCTGTGTCTGAAATTATCTGTTCCGTTACATATATTTCAATTATAGTTTATCAATTTTAATTATAGTTGAAGTAAATCGAGTGTGAAAAATCTCAATACTCAATTGTCATTGAACTTTTCAACTTTATTTACAGTTATTTTGCCATTTTTAACACCTAAGCGAAATATTCGTTAAGTTCGCATTCAAATGCTAAAACCTTAAACATGCAATGAGAATATTTTTATTTAGATTCTTATTGCCTCAGCTCAAGGTTGAAAAACATAACATTTGAAATTTACTGTTTACATACATTATCATCTCAAATGAATGTCGCTAAAAACCAAGAGTTTTGAAAACTTGTCAAACACTATTTTACCTATAAATCCTTTAATGGGCTTATCTGACGGATAAACTTGGCGTTTTGTACCAAATAACTATCAGATACTTTATCACAGACTTGTAAAACTGGTCCAAAGTAGATTAAGGGCTTGTTACCACGGAGTCATGCCGTTTTTTTGCAGGAACAGTTTTTAGCGAGCGAATGAAAAACGACAACTTTTACGATTTCAAAAAAATATTTTTGTGTTGGATAGCCCATTTAGCAAGGAAAGCTTTAGGCTGTATCTGTATCACATCACCCTATAGCAAATAGGGGCGGAGCAGTAAAGAAAAATGTTGCGAAAACGGGAAATATTATTCAAACTATTTACGCGTACGAAGTCGCAGGCAGAGCTAGTATTATAGTCAAAGTCAAAGTAAAAATTTCTTTATTTGTATAGACTATTAAATAGTTCTTACAAATCGTCAAATATTTTGCTCTTAAGGAGCCTCTACATGTCTCATAATCTTTTTACCCTACCAGCGCTTCGAGACCAACATTAGGCAAGTGCTGAGAAGCGCCGCAACAAACTCAGTCACTACTGTCTGCCGGTTAATATAAATAAATAGAAAAAGCAGTAGTAGGTACATTTGATTCAGGAGCAGTTCACTGAATTTACCACGCATTCTTGTATGGTGTATCTTATAAGAATGGGTATACAAAATTGCGTGGTATATTAAATACTAGTAGAAAATGACTCGCATTAATAAATTTGAATAACTTGGATTGACCAGTCCCCGAAAGTAGCGCCTGTTCACAGACATGACGAGTGAACCAGCCATCGCTTCACTCGACCATATTAGAGGGAATGTAATGACCCGCCTTATAGGTATAAGGCTTAGAAATTGTTTTTTGTATTACAGAAATTCATGCGCCTCTACCACGGAATAATGGAAGAGGATACCATAGCGCCGGAAAACCAACGAGTGAACTTAGAGATGAGTCCAGGGGACACAGTGTTCTTTCACCCACACTTGGTGCATGGCTCCAGGCCTAACGTGTCCAAGGTATGAGAAAAGTGAACTTATTAATAAACAATGTAGTTAAATCTTAAAGGACCTGTATAACTATTATGTATTGAGTCCGGACTGTAAATAATACAAGCATTTTAAAGTTTATAAAATTAGCACAGCTTGATGTCACATGTCACGCTCACGTGCTCATGTTGACTAGTATGAGACGGACTTTGTTTTAGTTAGATGACGTCATTGGGTTTCGAATTTCTGGTATATTTAGAAATTGACAAACAACAGCCGTTAACGATTTGATAATGATGACGGCAAGAAAACTGTGAGAAACAAAAAAAACATACTCATGCCCGTTTTCACGGGTCCGTGGCCGAGTCCCCCAGTTTTCGACGCACCCGTGGTCGACGCCCCCGGTCAGTTAAATTCGATTTGAAGCAATTTTTAATCAAATGTACAGTCAGGCACAAAAATGTTTATAAACGAATAAATATTTATTAGGCCAGTAGAATTAAACACAAAAATGAATCTAATGAAATGAAAATAATTCCTACAAAAGTTTTTTGTTTCTTACTACTGCTGGTTTTGGGTTAAAATTTTGCTCCCAGATTGCATAAATAGCGTCAAACATGCATAGTTTAGTATAATAATTAGCTTGTGAAAAATTTTTCGTTGACTGTCACAGATATAGATATACATAGATAACGCAAGTAGCACGATCTGTATTAAAACCAAGCGTGCCGACTTTTTAATACCTACTGTGACGTCACAGCCAACATTTAGTGACGGGAAATCGTAATCGATTCAAAGATGCCGATGCCGCCGCTGCCCCAACGCACCGCTACGATCACAGAAAAGGCATCGATTTATCTGACAGACGAATGAGATATACAGACGAATGATATTAAACGGAATGTTTAAATAGATAATAATTATTTTCATTGAATTTTAAATAAAAATGTATAATTCTAAAAGGCTAATTTTAGACACGATCCCGTATTAATAAAAACATAAAATATGTTATATTTACTTTAAATAGTGAATAAAATACATTTTAAGTTTTATCAAAATATCAATATCTCGACAACGGTGCCTCGTAGATATTTTGTATTGCTCTTATAACATATCCAGCAATATTATGTGAGGTTGAGGTTGGTCACAAAATTCTGTTATTTGTGGCAATGTTTTATAAAAATCATCAAAATCACGTACACTACTTGTATTCATTTCTCTACAATCTACATCATCATCAGCAGATCATTATTTCTTATATGTATGTACACACATTATTATAAATACTTTTACATGAAAATACATATATCTATACTATACTTTTTCTAATTTTCTCTTCCTTGACAACAATAGAGGTTGTTGTGGTGTTTCTTTAATCCATTATCTTCATTTTTTTTAAATCGAAAACTAGGAAAAAAAGTCATAAATAAATACTACAAATACACATTAATTAGAATATTTATTTATATATGAGAGTTATTTTTTAATAATAAATTAGTATCATTCGTCTGTCCGATATCGATAAGAATCGATTTATTGATTAAAGTAGTAGAACGAACAACACTAGTAGCAAAATTTGACAGACGAATGAGAAGTTGCGTGTACAACGAAGTCGAAGCGATGCGCGACAGTGGCGCTTGTCCGTTATACATCGCCTCTAAACACATAACGTCAGATCAAACGCTCAAAACAAACCCGGCAATGTATCGTAAAAAATTGTTTGAATGGTAAGTTATAAGTTTTTAGGTACATTCTTGAAACCAACGCTTGTAATACTTAAAAAATTGTTTTAAAATGAATTAACACTCAATATTATATCAAAATAACTTACCCGTGATAGGAAATATGTCCTTGCCTTTGGGAGCTCGAAGTTTTTGGCTTATTGCAATTAATTATCACACATTGAGGCATTTTTCTAGTTTTCGCGGCCGTCCGCATGCAACAACAGACGCGCGTGGACTGTGAGCAGCGGCAGCTCATTCCGATGATTTATCGGGATCGGGACACGCGAAGTAGGTGCATTCGCGTTATCTAGGTATATCTATATCTGTGTATACAGGGTGGAAACGTTAAGTGATCTCACTCGATTATTTCGAAACTATACAAGATATCGAAAAACTGATTACTGATTCTGAAAGTGCTTTACGAGCTCTTTCAAACGATATCAGTAATAGGTTACAGAATTAACTGGATCTATCCGAAAATTCAATGTTTTCAGCCTCCATACTAAATGTATGCCACTATGCCAGCCACACAATATTAGAAGTGTTAATTTTTTTTATTTTAAATAATAAACACTTAAAATTAATTCGTGAATAGCATTCTTATTTAAAATTATTCACGGAAAACATTGGTTTTAGGCTTTACTTGCTATAATATTATCAAGACATGAGTGCTATGATTGTGGCAGTATTAAATGTATGGAAGCTGAAAACATTGAATTTGCGAATAGATCCAGTTTATTTTATAACTTTTTATTGGTACCATTGGATAGAGCTCGTGAAGTACTTTCAGGATCAGTTACCAGTTTTTGGATATCTTGTATAGTTTTTAATATTATGAGGTTTTACTAAATGTATGGAGGCTGGAAACATTGAATTTTCAGATAGATCCAATTTATTATGTAACCTATTATTGGTACCGTTGGATAGAGCTCATGAAGTACTTTTAGGATCAGTAAGCAGTTTTTGGATATCTTGTATAGTTTATAAATAATCGAGTGAGATCACTTATCGTTTCCACCCTTTATTATAAGCCATTTTATTGATGTTTACCTCAAAGATTAATGTATTTCATTTTATTAATAGGAATTTGTCGTAGTTTTTTAATATCCGGTATCCGGCCGGATAGTGAGTTACTATCCGGTATCCGGCCGGATAGTAAATTTAGGCCGGATATCCGGCATACCGGATAGTTACCGGATATCCGTTTCATCTCTAATGTATATACACACATTATTATGTACTTTTACATGAAAATACATATATCTATACTATACTTTTTCTAATTTTCTCTTCCTTGACAACAATAGAGGTTGTTGTGAAAAAAAAGACAAATAAATACTACAAATACACATTAATTAGAATATTTATTTATACTCGTATATGAGAGTTATTTTTTATTAATAATTAGTATCATTCGTCTGTCCGATATCGATAAGAATCGATTATTGATAAAAGTAGTAGAACGAACAACACTAGTAGCAAAATTTTACAGACGAATGAGAAGTTGCGTGTACAACGAAGTCGAAGCGATGCGCGACAGTGGCGCTTGTCCGTTATACATCGCCTCTTAACACATAACGTCAGATCAAACGCTCAAAACAAACCCGGCAACGTATCGTAAAAAATTTTTTGAATGGTAAGTTATAAGTTTTTAGGTACATTCTTGAAACCAACGCTTGTAATACTTAAAAAATTGTTTTAAAATGAATTAACACTCAATATAATATTAAAATAACTTACCCGTGATAGGAAATATGTCCTTGCCTTTGGGAGCTCGAAGTTTTTGGCTTATTGCAATTAATTATCACACATTGAGGCATTTTTCTAGTTTTCGCGGCCGTCCGCATGCAACAACAGACGCGCGTGGACTGTAAGCAGCGGCAGCTCATTCCGATGATTTATCGGGATCGGGACACGCGAAGTAGGTGCATTCGCGTTATCTAGGTATATCTATATCTGTGTTGACTGTACTTAGTGCAAAAGCCGAAAAAAATATGATATTAAATTTATTTAAATCGGGGGCGTCCACCACGGGTGCGTCAAATACTGGGGGACTCGGCCACGGACCCGTTTTCACCATCAAGCCCTAGTTTTTAAGTGATCCTTATGGTAACAAATTACAGGAATTTTGTATACATAGGGGTCACTTAAAAATTAGGGATTGATGGTGAAAACGGGCATCAGTCCCACAACTTTAGTCATAGGTTGTGAGGTTCGAATCCCGCTGTGACCTAATGAGAATTATTTTAACATACTGCCAGCCAGCTACCATACTTTGAATCCTGTTGCCTTGTAAAAAGAACTCCCATTTTGTTGATTGTTCCCGATGATTAGTTTCCTTTTTTATCTTCATAAAAATAAAGTGAATGTGTAAAAAAATTGAAAAACTATGAGGCTCAAACAACCCCGTATATTCCAGGGCTACCGAAAATCCATATCGTGCCACTACGCAAGCAGTGATTGCCACTTCATAGACGTGACCGGTACTGTGCAGGAGAAGATTGCTGAGGAAAGCATCGCTGAAGCGAAGAGACGAGGCATTGAACTGACTTACGAGGTAAGAAAAGAATCTTTCGTTTCAGCCAAATGACGTCCACAGCTGGACAAAGGGGACCAAGGATTTCCACAACAACCGGTCCTGCGCCGCCCGCATCCAGGCACTTCACGCGACAATCACCAGATCGTCGGTCCATCTAGTGGGATGCCCATCCACATTGTCTTCCGGCCCGATGAATAGAATAATTGTTCGAAAATATAAAGCTACAAATAGAAAAACAAGTAAGAAACAGAAAAACAAGTAACGGAAATACAAATACAAGTTGATTTGTTAAATAATTTTAGAGAATAATAGTTTAGCTGCGAAATCAAATATTAATAGTAACCAGTGCTGTGTTGTTTTTCCGGGATTCAATTGTTTTCTTTACTTATTTTCCAAAAATCACTCTCCAAAGCGCGCTTGTGCATTTTTCTCTGCTTACCTGCTTTTACAAATGAAGCTCCCGAGTAAAAAAGCATAATATAAGTAGGTAACTTGAAAAATGTTAAGCAATAAAGGACGTAGCACACTTATCAACCCGGAAAGGGATCGTAAGACGATGACAGCTCGCAAAAGGATATACGGTGTGATCCCTTTCTGAGTTGATAAGTCTGCTATGACCTTAATTCACTAAGTAAATATGTTTTTTTCACAGGAAATTTGGAGATACAGGAGCAAACACGTGAAGGGAGTCAGATCCAATTTGTAAGTTTATTTACACGTAAATTAATATAAACATTTTATCGGAGTGCTTAAGATTTAAAGATCATTTTCATCGGGTATAAGTGCGAGATTTTTAATTTTTTATGATTGTAGTACATTATGTAAAATAAATTTTACTCTATTAGCTTTAAAAACGGTGCAATGTGATATTATAAGTATGTCTATATCATTTTTATACTATTATATCAAAGTTATTTTGTTATATTAAAAGTTATCGAGAAGTAATTGCTTTTATTTAATCAATCTTGTAATCCATATTATAAATAATTGATAAGCAATTAGTATTATCGATGAATATAGAAACAGTTGCCATGCAGCACATCGTGTATACATTTATGTTACAACAATATTACACATAATGTTGCCCGGTTGGTAGCAGCCTGCGTCGTATGACTACAATGTGTTGCTAGATGTGCCGTTCTTTGTACATAAAAATATATACGATATGTATGGTTATGTATAAAATAAAAAAACGTTTACACACAATAATTATTTTATTTTAAATCTTAGGTCAAAGAAAACTTATTTAATTACGTCATATTTATTATTATTACTCCATTTGGACGGATTTGTTATAATATTAACCTATTTCATCTACGTTTTGGTATTTATTATAATTTTAATTATAAACATTATACTACTTTATAATCAACGTATATTATTTTCTTAGATTTCATTTAATGGCATATAGTATTAAAATATAAGTATTTATAAAATCTATATTTGCATCCAATATTCTTATTTTAACTACACATTATAATATTGAGTGATTAATACTAAATTATGTTGAACAAAAATGATTCCATGTCGTTTATACCAACATATTATATTAAATATTATCTGACATGATAATTATTGATTAGTAATATTGCTTTATTTTAAAAATAATTTTAATTTGAATATTAAAGAAAAGTGAACTTTGATTTGTTCGATAATCCAATTATCAGCAAAATGACAACAAAACAAAAATCCCTTTCTAGATAAGTACATCCTAATTTATATCCTTTTTATCAATACAAACAATATACTTAATTATATTATAATCGGCAGAGATAATTCAATCATAATAAGATAATACTAATTAATGATATATTTCTGTTGCTTATGGCGTTTGCGGGATTTACACAAGTCTCATACAGCTAAAGCCTGGTCCGTGAGCACGTAGAATTTTGTCCAATGACCCCAAGCTACCCATCCTTATCGACTGTGCGACGGGCACCCGCAGTGAGTGTGCGAGTGCGACAGCAACATAATTACGCGCGAGCGATAAGGATGGGTAGCTTGGGGTCATTGGACAAAATTCTACGTGCTCACGGACCAGGCTTTAGACGCCCCGCAAATGCCCCGTAACAATGTTATTATACCACAATCCTTCTTTTCGTCACTTTATACAAACTATCCGAATTCCTTGACCGTTAATTTAAATCATACCCATGAGCATTAACAAAGATGGCGCTTTATTTACAAAATATAAATATGTATACATTTTCTATATACCGGGTGTATATAAATTCGACCGGTATTTAATGATATATTTAAGAATACAAGTGTTTTATTTTATATATTATAATCGCAATATACAGCATAAAGTCTAAATATTTACATTAAAATAAATGTATTTATATTAAAGGTGAAATAATAACTTATTGTTAAAACTGTGACACGAGACTAGATCTGTTTGGAAGTAAAACTAATAAAATATTTTGTGGTATAGTAACCATCAAGAAATAATATTTATTGCAGGCAACACTTTAAGGAGCCATCTTTAGATTAGTGGAAAAAACGTTGCTATTGAGCTGAAAATTACCCTAATAACTTAGAAAGTCAATTTGAGCCCATAAGTGTGATTTCACTTAGACCACATTTTAATATCACACATGCAAGTGATATGGGTCTATAAATTTGAAAATTGGGTGGCAATAATAATATATTAACAGCCACATATACCAAAAATGAGTAGGTAATTTTTATATACATGGTAGTAAATAAGAATGTTATTATTATATTGTTGTAGTTTTGAAAAGCAATAATTTATTATTTCTTGAAGACTATTATAAAGCATCTATAGATATACAACGGTTGTCAAGTTTTATAATCTGCATCTATTGGTAACTAAAGTAATTAATAATCAAAATCCTTCGCAGTCTCCATCAAAAATCTGCAAGAAAAACATCAAAGTTAATATAGCATTCCAAAAATATATAAAAATATGTAAGAATTTTGTTAAATACCTACTTTTGCATGCAATCCCATTCTAGAACCTTCATCACCTTGAAAGCGATTTAAATAAGACAATAATATATTAAAACTCATTTATTTCGATTAATTATTATTAATTAAAATACATAAAGCTTTAAGTACTTAATTCGTATAAAAATATAAAATTAATAACCGATAAGTACTGCACAATTATATTAATTAATTTAGTATCTAGTATCTACTGAGTTAATAATTTATTAATAAGCTTACATTTTGTTCGAAATTTTGTTATTAATTATTGGCACAAACTTTTGATTATTAATAAAAGTTAAGGAATAATGTTGCAACTTTACAGTCAATGGTCTCTTACTGCCTTTGCAAGCCAGAAAGAGACAAAAATACCAATACCAATCTTGGAATTTTTGTTAAGTTGCAACTCCTTCCAACCTGCGCAGTATTCATCTCTCACTTATTCATTAAGGACTGTGAGCGAGATATGTATACTTCGGCATATTAAATTTAAAAGTATGTGTGACTTAATAAAATGTTTCTTTTTTTACTGCGCAGGTTGTATATATTTCTAAAAGCGTAATAACTAATAGGACGATCAAAGCGCATTCTACAACCAATACCATACCCAAACGACTAACTACTTAAACCATTTAAATAACTTAACGAACAATCTTTTACTTTGAATTCTTGGTGATAGACTAACGCCCGTATTCACAAACATTACTATGAGGTCTCACAGTGCGCGTGGACGCACTGGGTGACACACGAACCAATAACAGACCTCTATTCAACGCTGTGCGTTCGATTTGCTACTTCACTTAAGCAAGCATCGTTTGTTAATACGGGCGTTAGTCTATAGATGAACTACACTGAACTGTCCCACCAAACGCATTGACAGGGAGGCGCCACCATCGTTCAACTATATAGTTTCCAACATGGCAAAAATAGAAATTAACGATCCGGTATTGACAGTGGCGCCCCCTGACAATGTCACCGATGGGACAGTTCGTTGAAGTTGGACAATGTGATGTTTGCGGGTGGAATAAATGACATTGTTATTTGTCATTTCCATCCTGTATACTTACTGACGCAGGAAGTACGATGAATAGTAATGTACCATAATAATATGACATTACTGTTTAAATTGTAATGTCGATGGTTGGTTTCAGTTATTATCATTGCAATGTAAACCGTAGATTAATAATATTAAAGTACATTACTATTCGTTGCCGACTTTGTCATCGAAAAAGATTGTTTGAAAGTCACAAATAAGCCCAGTGCAAAATAAAAAGTTTTAGAAGCCAAAAGCGTCACTATGAGCGTCCCGTACAATATTACTGTGCTTTAATAAAAATGCAGACATTTAACCCTTCAGAAGGCATTAGAAGCAAGTTGATTTTCGACCTTGAAGCCTAATATCACTTGGAACAAAATTTGAATATCCCACTTAAGTATGTGTAGACTATAGAATATGAGTCAATGATTTGCGATATTATATTCATAATGTTCCAAGTGAAACGAGGCTTAAGACTCAATATTTGGTGGCAACAATACTACCACAGCCTTGAAAAGGTTTAAAAAAGTAGAGTCAGGAATGCATGCATTTCTATCACAATAGTAAAGTTAATAAACTAACTACATAGTAGTGAGTGTCACATAACACAAATAGTAGTAGAATTTTCAAAAATATTTAACACTTTTTAATGGCCTAATGTGATATAATATCGATTTTACTTCCTCAAAAATCCAGTGATTATTAATCTCGATCAGTTATTGTTAATTTAAAAATTATTTGTGAAAGATTTTGGAAAATTCTTATTTGTGATATTAGTCCAATTAATTTGTGATGTCTATATCTTATTTTAACCTAGAATTAGCCAAACAAAGGCTTTAAATGATCTACAATATTAGACACGTGTTAACGCGTAACTTTAAAAACCAACTAAACATTAAAAAGGTTAACATTAAAATAGTCTATTTATTTACAATTAACTACGAAAGAGAGAGAATTTGCTTGTAAATTTGCTCTTATACCACAGCTGCACAGGGAATAAGGACAAGTTTAACATGCTACGTGTGATGTTTTATATTCCACTGGTAAAAATTAAACTATAACCCATACCCCGAAATATCCCCCTGTTACTGGCATATTAAACTAAGCTAAAACGTATATCTACTTTTCAAGTATAAATATTGCACTAAACACTTTAAGCAAGAGCTTGAGTCTTTAAGCCTAAGTTCACTTTGGACATTTCTAAATATTTACTTTAATTTTGTGACTTTAAACCTGGTTATTCTTAATCTTAAACTATTAAAATTGAGTACTTTTAAGTAAGCCCTTTTAATATTTGCGAATAATAAATAAAAGCTATCTAAACCGCTAAAAATAATATCTAAATGTGATATGCACACTTGCACAGTTCACTCCTACACTAATTTTATTTCAATATCAAAAAGGCCTTCGTCAAAAGCGCCATTCCAATGTCGCCTAAATACTAGCCAACTATTCTCTAACTAGAGAGACAGACTAATGCCCGTTTTCACCATCAATCCTTAATTTTTAAGTGACCCCTTTGAAAACAAAATTCCTGTTATGTGTTACCATAGGTGTCACTTAAAAATTGGGGATTGATGGTGAAAACGGGCATTATTCTCCTGTAATGAGCATAATACAAAACTATCCTATTGGGCTGCGATTCTATTAAATGTCTATAAAAAGGATGGTCTTAAGCCTTTCCTCACTCGTTTATAATTACAATCAAAACGGACTTTTAACCTGTTAACTTCCATCACCACTTTCCATCAGGTGAGATGTAGGTCAAGAGGTTCATTTTTGTGAATAAAAAAACGGTTAAAACTTCAATAATACCTACAGAGCCCTACAACTAGCAGCGTAAAGTGTAGACCCTAGTCCTTATAACAATATGCCCCTAAACAGCCAACTACTAGCAAGTGGAAACCCTAGTCATCCTAAACAGTCTTAGGTACGAGGAATGACACCCTTGTCATTCCCCTAATATGCTCATACAAACTCCTATTACTAGCAGTGGAAGCCCTACTCAAATCCAGTCCTTTAAAGTCCAACTTCTAACAGTGTAAATCGTAATTTTCCCTCTAAACTTCGTGGCACTCAAATTAGCCAAAAAGTTGACAACACAACTGTATTCCAATGAGGGTTTTCGCGAATGAAAAATCCGCCAGATGGCAATACGTAGACGCGAGGTCCAAATGCTGCATGATTGGTTATTTTTGACATGACATTGACAGATATGTCAAAATCCACCAATCAGCAGCAGTCAGACACCACATCCACGTCCCGCCATCTAGCGGATCTTTCATTCGCGAAAACCCTCATTGTAACAAAGAATAGTTGCGAACTTGTTGGTTACTTTGTCACCCCGAAACCCCAGGTTTCTTCTGGTACCCAACCCCTAATCATTCCCTCGATAATCCACGTAGACCCTAACCACTTCACCTTCATACTTCCGCTGCGACGGCATAAAGTAGAAGTCAGGTTGCGCGTGCGTCGCATCGGCGCGGCCTCGAGGCAGCGAGTACGTCGCGCGATCGTTGCCTCCGCCGTGTGCTCCGCGACCGACGTACCTGGCGGTGAACGGGTTAAGTGAATTAAGATGGTATAGGTAATCAAATGAAGCAGAGTCTCCAGCGCGTGTTTTGCACTACACAATCAACAAAAACATGTCAACAAAATTGTCTACACAAAACATTGTTTCACTACGTACGTGTTTTCTACCGGACATGTAGGCCTAAGATGCGCACCGTGATAACTTTTATCGACGTTAAAATGTATGGGGAAAATCGATAAAATGGCGTGATAACCGCTTATCGCGGCGCGCATTTTAGGCCTAATGGAAAGCAGAAACATATTGACATACATGTTTTTGTTGATTGTTAGACCCTACACTTTAGGGCAAAACGCGCTGGAGGGGTCTCCTTTGTATATTTTTTTTACTTGAGAAATAAACAAATACCTCATAACGGTAGTAGGAAGGCGCTGGATGCAGACCAACCGATCATTATAAAAATCATTGGGAGACGCCTATGTTCAGCAGTGGACGTCCTGCTGATGATGATGTAGAAAAAAACAAAAAACTGCATGTATGTAGCTGTTGTTAAAATGAGTTTCTAGCGGTGCTTCTCGTCACTGTGTTCTCACTACTCAATAATAGTGTCGAATCGCTGCTAGTAAAGCAAAAAAATCATACTGTATGTAAAGAACTTGAATTTAAAAAACTTGTCATATTATATGCTAATCTAAAACTAATCTTAGCAAGTAGGTATACTGAGTGAAAAAGCTCTATAACTATACAGTGTGAGTCACGTTAAAGTGTACATATGAAAATAGATGAAACTAGACCTATTTTTATCGACAAAAAAGAGGTCAAAAAATTTTTGAGATTTTTTTTTAATTTTTTATAGAATTTTTTTTCTTGCAATTACTTATTGTAAAGAAAACGTAATAACTTTTAAACTAAGCGGTATATCCTGATAAAATAAAAACAGCAATAATTCTAAATAATAGGCAATACTAAAAAAATACATAAAATACACAAAAAAGGCCAACAAATAATAAAAAATGATACTTTTTTAAAAAAATCTGCTTAAAAATTCGTGTTTTTTTGGTTATTTCATAAATTTCTCCAAAAAATGCCCCTATAACCGGTGGTTTTTATTACTTTGTATTATTNTGCTAATCTAAGTTTGACAGATATATTATACGAAATGTTTTTCCTAATATGTTGTGAGAGAAATAAATAAATAAATTATTCACTAATTCAACGCGCCGAACATGACCGATAACAGCGCGGAAACTACTGAATGCACATTCGGTTTCGGCCGTAGTTTCGGCAAGTTTGCCGCCGAAAACGAAACTAAACCGAAACTCGTGTTTTTACCGAAACTCAACCGAAAACGAAACCGAAACCGAACATTCGGTCGGACACTAATTTTTTATTATTTGTTGGCCTTTTTTGTGTATTTTATGTATTTTTTTAGTATTGCCTGTTATTTAGCATTATTACTGTTTTTATTTTATCAGGATCTACCGCTTAGTTTAAAAGTTGTTACGTTTTCTTTACAATAAGTAATTGGAAGAAAAAAAATTCTATAAAAAATTTAAAAAAAATCTCAAAAATTTTTTGACCTCTTTTATGTCGATAAAAACAGGTCTAGTTTCATCTATTTTCATATGTACACTTTAACGTGACTCACACTGTATAGTCTAGCAGTAAAAAGTGAAATTAAAAAATCTAAAAACTGAATAGGTACCTACTACTCGCACAAATTAAGGAAGTAACTTATCTATGTAGGTATGGTGATAAGTATGGTAATTCATACAGGAAATGGATACGAGAGTCGACGATGTACAAACATTTTGAATAATTTTTTTAAAAGGTGTCAAAAGCTTTTTAGCACCATTTTGCGTCGAATACCAAAAAATGTTAATTTAAAAATAACTAATTAAATAGTTATTAAAGGAAAATATTTTAAGGAAAAAGTTTATGCGAGTTCTAATAAATAAAATAAAAATTCGAAACAATAAAATGTAAAATAATTTAACTTAAAAAACTAAAGCGAAAATGTTTATCCCAAAAAAAAAATACAAAAAGGAATTTTTCGACCGTGACAGGACTCGAACCTGCAATCTTCGGATCCGAAGTCCGACGCCTTATCCATTAGGCCACACGGTCAGATGAGTGGGAGCGCGAAATTTCGCAACATATGGTTTAGTGAGTGACGTAAAACGATGTTAGAAAAAAAATTTCTTACATTTTTAACCGATTTCAAAAAGGGAGGAGGTTCTATGTTCAACCAAATACAGGTAGGGTAGGATGGTAATGAGCTCTGGTGATTGCGACTTTTTGTAGCAAAAATAAACAGTATAATGGAATCTGTTCGATTCCTCTCCATATACTAGTGTACTGGTTTCACTTGAAAAAAAATAAACATAATAATACGTGTTTGTATCTGAAATTATCAAATTAGTTAATGCTTGAGTTTAAAAAAATATATTTTCTTCAGTTATCTTCACTATTTTCATGTTTTATTTTTTTTTTCACTAGAAAAAATAAATATTTTTCACTTAATAAATAATCATATCAGATGACTTTTATTACTGCATAAACGGGGCATTGTCGGGGTGTTATATCTGCTTGTAATTTATCCGTACTGCTGCAGTGTTGTCGCAATGTATTACACTAACACGCGGGGCATTAGTGGGGCGCTGTCTCTAAGTAACTCACCCATATTGCTGTCTTGGCCGCTGCAGCGAGCATGTGTCATAATAATACTGCGTGCGGCCTAATTACACTAACACGCGGGGCGTTAAGCACTTGTAGGGGCATTTGCGGGGCGTTGTCTTTAAATAACTCACCCATACTGTTGTCGCGGCCGCTGCAGCGACCTTGTGTCATGATAATACTGAGCGGCACTATTGGCAGGGCGCGGCGTGCGACCGTTAGCGTGCGCCGGCGACTTGCGGCCGTATTACACTAACGCAGGCGTAAACGGGGCTTTGTCTATCTAGTAACTCACCCAAGTGTATTATTGAGGCGTTGATGGGTTGTTGCCTATGTTTACATATCTAACTTACCCATACATACGCGGCGTACGTCCGTTAGCGTGCGCCGGCGACTTGCGTCCGTCCGTATTACATTAACGCGGGGCGTAAAAGGGGCTTTGTCTCTGTAAGTAACTCACCCATATTGCTGTCTTGGCCGCTGCAGCTACCTTGTGTCATGGTAATACTGTGCTGCGCTATTGGCAGGGCGCGGCGTGCGTCCGTATCACACTAACACGCGGGGCGTTAAGCAGTTGTAGGGGCATTTGCGGGGCGTTGTCTTTAAATAACTCACCCATACTGTTGTCGCGGCCGCTGCAGCGAGCGTGTGTCGTGATAGTACTGCGCTGCACTATTGGCAGGGCGCGGCGTGCGACCGTTAGCGTGCGCCGGCGACTTGCGGCCGTATTACACTAACGCGGGGCGTAAACGGGGCTTTGTCTATCTAGTAACTCACCCAAGTGTATTATTGAGGCGTTGATGGGTTGTTGCCTATGTTTACATATCTAACTTACCCATACATACGCGGCGTGCGACCGTTAGCGTGCGCCGGCGACTTGCGGCCGTATTACACTAACGCGGGTCGTAAACGGGGCTTTGTCTCTCTAAGCAACTGTATATTGTTGTCGCAGGCGTTGCAGCGATAATGTGCCATGATAATACTGCGCGACGCTTTTAGCGGGGCACGGAATGCGGCTGTATTACACTAATCGGGGCAGGTGCAACGAGTGCCTGTCGTGATAATACTGTGATGCGCTGTTGGCGAGGCGTTAACGGGGCTTTAGCGGGGCTTTGTCTCTTTACACTCACCCATATTGCTGTCTTGGCCGCTGTAGCGACCTTGTGTCATGATAATACTGTGCTGCGCTATTGGCAGGGCGCGGCGTGTGTCTGTATTACACTGCACGCGGCACGTTAATGGGGCAGTAGCGGGGCGTTGTCCCTGCATCTAACTCACCCATATTGCTGTCTTGGCCGCTGCAGCGATCGTGTGTCGTGATAATACTGTGCTGCGCTGTTGGCGGGGCATTAGTGGGGCTTTAGCGGGTCATTTTCTTTAACTAACTTACCCATACTGCTGTCTTGGCCGCTGCAGCGATCGTGTGTCATGGTAATACTGTGCTGCGCTGTTAGCAGGGCGCGGTGTGCGACCGTTAGCGTGCGCCGGCGACTTGCGGCCGTTGCCGTTGGCTGACAACTTGTGGCCGTTGGTTGGCGTCTGAAACGATGTTGAATAAGGTTTGAAAGTAGCCTAATGTGCTATAGGTTGTACTTTTATCATCTGTGGGTCTAGACAAAGTGCAAATTATAATCGCAAACCAGTCGAAAAGTGGTCTAAAAGCCCCTTTTTTGCATGGAGTTTTGAGGGATTCGATTTTCGATTCGATCAAAAAGTGCGTTTTGTCTAGGGGGGGCTGGGGGCGTAGTGTTTACGTCAAACGCATTCGATATCAACTGCGTAAAAAGTGACATTAAAGGCATGTGGGTTGTACAGCGCCCCTAGCGGAAACGGGGCGTTTGTAGGTCTTTGTCTCACCTTAACGGGCGTTATCCTGTCCATCCTATGCGCCCGAATGTAATTTACCAGCGAGCGCATTCATATGCGCTGGTACAACTGCGTAGGGCGTTGTCGAGTCGTTGGCGGGGCGTTGATGAGTCTTTTGTGGGTCGTTAGCGGAGAGTTGGTGATACTTTTTCGAGGCGTTGTTGGGGCTTTAGCGGGGCGTTGATGGGACATTTGTGGGGCGTTGGTTGGTGTGTTTCTTGTGGGGCGTTGGTGGGTCGTTAGCGGGTCTTTTATGGGGCATTGATGGGTCATTTGTGGGGCGTTGGTGGGCCTCTTGCGGGGCGTTAGCGGGGAGTTCGTGGATCTTGCGGGGCGATAGTGGTTCGTTAGCGGGCTTTTGTGGGTCGTTAGCGAGGAGTTGGCGGGGCATTCGTGGGGAGTTGTCGGGGAGTTGTTTCTTTTTTTTTTTCAAAATCTACCTTAACTGGCGTCATCCTGTCCATCCTATGCGCGCTGCTGGGCCTGGGCGGCGGCGGGCCGGTGGGGCGTAGCGGCGGCGCGCCGGACGGCGGGCGGGAGCGCGGCGCGGTGGAGGCGGGGCCTTCATTGTCTAGTCTCCGCTTCAGGTGGTATATTCTATTTTACCAGCGAGGGTACAACTACGCCGGGCGTAGTCGAGTCGTTGGCGGGGCGTTGATGGGTCTTTTATAGGTCGTTAGCGGGGAGTTGGTGTCTTTTTCGGGGCGTTGGTGGGTATTTAGCGGAGCGTTAATGGGACTTTTGTGGGGCGTTGGTTGGTGGGTTTTTTATGGGGCGTTGGTCGGTATCTTGCGGGGCGTTAGCGGGGCGTTGATGGGTCGTTAGCGGGGAGTTGGTGTGTATTTAGCGAGGCGTTTGTAGGTCGTTAGCAGGGCATTGGTGGGTCTTTTATGGGTCGTTAGCGGGGAGTTGGTGGGTCTTTTAGGGCGTTAGCGGGGAGTTGGCGGGGCATTCGTGGGGAGTTGGTGGGGCGTTGGGTTTTTTTTTTTTTTTTTTTTTCAAATCTACCTTGACCGGCGTCATCCTGTGCGCGCTACTGGGCCTGGGCGGCGGCGGGCCGGTGGGGCGTAGCGGCGGCGCGCCGGACGGCGGGCGGCGGGTGGAGGCGGTGGCGAACTTGTCGTCGTTCTCGAACGGCTCGAAGGCGTAGTTGGTGTTCGATGAGTAGTCCTTCCACGCTGACGAGGGGATTAGCTGGTCCTGGAACAAAGGGGATAATTATAATAAATACTCTTCATTGCACACCAGAACAAGAACAGAAAAAATAAACACACGGACAGCTAGGCAGGCGGTCTTATCGCTATGACGCGATCTCTTCCACACCTATAGAGAGGACAGTTACATAATACAAATATGAAGGGGATGAGTTTACGTCAAACGCATTCGATGTCGACCGCTTAAAAAAGTGACATTAAAATGTATGACGGATTGTACAGCGCCCCTAGCGGAAACGTTCAAGAACTAAAATTTTCATACATTTTTTTACAGTGAGCGCGTTTGATGTGAACTCACACAGCCCTCTGTCCACAAGAAATGTATAGTTTTTACCTTACAAGTCTCTCAAATGCACATGTATGCGCCCGCCCGTACCGTACAGTTATGTAGCATCCACGTTGTCACTTGTCATCAAACGAAAAAGGATTCTCAACTGTGAAACTAAAGATCCCTAAAAACTATACAGCATGCAACATAATTTCATCGTCGCTGTCACTTGACATGAAGCCAAAAACGTCCTTAAACTACTGTCATAAAGACCATAATTCCTTACCTTGCCCTTGCTAGCTCCACGGCCGCCATACAGCGTGCAAACAGCCTGTAGTAACGCCACCAGTATAAGGGCAGCTACACAACCGGCCACTACATACAGCTTTGTTTCAGCTAGGCCGAAGAAAGTACGTTCGCTGACTCCTGTGCTTGTGCGAAAATGAACTCAGGACAGTAGCCATAAGGTCTACAATTCCTTACCACGCAGTCATCCACTACGTATAGCTTCGTCTCTGCTAGACAGTCAATTGGCATCAAGCCAAAAAGGACCCAATTCATCAGTCAAGGAGCACTGTTTTTCACGTTACTAAAATGCATCGGCACAGTAGTGTCAAGCCAAAAACAACTTTCAATTACTGTCATAAGGACTATTATTCCTTACCTTGCCCTTGCTAGCTCCACGACCGCCACTAAACAAGCAATACAAAGTTCGTCTTCCACACTGTCACTTGGTATCAAGCCAAAAACAACCTTCAATTATTGTCATAAAGACCATAATCCCTTACCTTGCCCTTGCTAGCTCCACGACCGCCACTAAACAAACAATACAAAGTTCGTCTTCCACACTGTCACTTGGTATCAAGCCAAAAACGTCCTTAAACTACTGTCATAAAGACCATAATTCCTTACCTTGCCCTTGCTAGCTCCACGGCCGCCATACAGCGTGCAAACAGCCTGTAGTAACGCCACCAGTATAAGGGCCGCTACACATCCGGCCACTACATACAGCTTTGTTTCAGCTAGGCCGAAGAAGGAACGAGCACTGTCCGATTCTTCCTCTTGCGGGCGATATGATACGACTGGAAAATACGAGAAAATTTAAATACTGGGACATTTTAGACTCGTCTAGTGACAAAGTAAGAAAATCTTGCAGTATGGGTACTACTAAATCAACAGAGAAACATGCTGAATTACTATGTATATTATATGTATACGTAGAGCTTAACAAAAGGAGATGCTTTCAAGTACTACAAAAATTTGCACTGGGTGGTTTGCTAGGTAAGCCTCGAGAGCCCTTGCGTTTTGGTTCAGCGGTTGTGCAATGAAAGAAAAATGTTCTTGAGAAGTAATTAAAAAAATATTGCGATACATTTTTGATACGTTAATTAATATTCATTAAGGGCTGATTTTTCAATCATCGGATAACTTTTAACTGAAGAATAAGTTTGGCATATTAACAGTTTCAGTATGGGGAATATGTCAAAATGACAAGTTTATTCCTCAGTTAAAAGTTATCTGATGATTGAAAAAACGGCCCTAAAGCGAATAAAAACAAAGAAAAATGACAATGAGGGCTATCGTTTTAGCGCTCACCAGTTAGCGCCACTGTAGAGTAAGGTCTTTTCACTTGCTAGTAGCGAAGACAGTGGCACCAACTGGTGAGCGCTAAAGTGGTAGGAGGACTATCGCATTTGCACTCATCAAGATGGCGCCACTGTAGAGTAAGGTCCTGTCAATCGCCAGGGGTGCCAACTGTTAAGTATAAAAACGATAGCCCTCATTGAATTGATTGCAGAAAACTGACGCAGAAAAATTATAAAAATAATCTCGACAATTTTATGACTTTCACAAGCAAATTAATTATTTTTGAATAGTCCGTTCCCCACATTTTATTCTTATCAGCTTGTCTACTACTTAAAAAGTGTTAAAATCAACTTACTGCTCATAGGTTCAAACACCAAGAAGTCTGGATCCACGTTCACATTCCCGACTCTTCCTAGTGCAAGCGTCTCTCTCACCGCCGCCTCCCACTTCACTTTATCGCCGTCCTTGTCTGTCTCGTTGGCCGCGACAGAGACGGCGCCATCGAGCGAGCGCGCGCTCGAGCCTTCGATTAGGTTGGAGTCGATCGATTTGAGAGTCAGTTCCGCGATTATTGCTTTTGTTTCGTTCCTGGAAATAAAGTTATGGAATCAATGGATCTATTTTGGAAATTTAAGCGAGAGATGCCTGAAATCGACTGGAATAGCGATTACAAGCAATACTGATGTGTCATCATTATCATCATTTGTTGCAAAAGATTTGTTCAGAATTTTTGGTTAAGAAACTTGCAATATTTAGGCCGAGTTGCACCACCTAACTTTGACCGTAACTATAACGATAACCGGTGTTTTTTATAAGGAGTTTGGCAGTTTTTTGACGTTTGTCAAAGTTAAAGTATCATGGTGCAACCCAGCCTTAGATTTAACTTCTGTGATTACTTTGTAATATCATTACTGTTAGAGCGTATATTATAATTTCTGAAGCCTCATAAACGAAGATTCTAAAACTTCCCTTAAGATACAACACACAACAGTTATCCTCATTTGAGGATCTCATAAAGGTAGCAGGAAGACGTTGGGACGATGTGGAAATCATTGGAGGAGACCTATGGTCAGTGGACGTCCTGTGGCTGAAATGATGATGATGGTGATAAAACTGCTTTCTATACCAAAACAAGTTCAAATTCCACCAGCCTCCTTCCATCACCGGGGAACCAGATGCAGGTTAGCATACCCCTACATTGTCGACATTCTACCAGCTCCCACTAAGCGTTTCGCTTACTCTTTTATAATGCGAACAGCTAGGGACTGGAATTCGCTGCCTGCTGCTGTCTTTCCCGAACATTATAATCCGGGCCTTTTCAAGACGAGAGTGAATAGGCACTTACAGGGCAGATAAGTACCATCCTAGACTGCATCTCATTTAACATCAGGTGCGATTGCAGTCAAATACCTGCTTTGTGCTGCATAAAAGGAAAAATAAAAGGTCAAACTCACTGCATAAACCCGTTAACAATCACACCCTGGAAGCCCTTAGTGCTCTTCATCTCACTGGCCAAGCTATCAGCCACTTGCTTGCTCAGCTCTTCGTACTCCTTTGACCTACACTAAACTTAAACTGCTTTAGCTTGGCAGCAGGGTTCTGGAGTGGAGACTACGTAACGGAAAACGCAGCGTGAGACATCCACCCACAAGGTGGCCCGACGACCTCATAAAGGTAGCAGGAAGGCGCTGGTTGCAGGCCGCTACCAACCGTGCGATTGGAAATCATTGGGGGAGCCTATATTCAGTGGACGTCCTATGGCTGAAATGACGAAACTGGTACCAAAAGAAGTTCAAACTCACTGCATAAACCCGTTAACAATCACGCCCTGGAAGCCCTTAGTGCTCTTCATCTCACTGGCCAAGCTATCAGCCACTTGCTTGCTCAACTCTTCGTACTCCTTAGACTTACACTAAACTTAAGCTTGGCAGCAGGGTTCTGGAGTGGAGACTACGTACCGGAAAACGCAGCGTGAGACATCCACCCACAAGGTGGCCCGACGACCTCATAAAGGTGCGCAGGAAGGCGCTGGATGGCCGCTACCAACCGGACGATGTGGAAATCATTGGGGGAGCCTATATTCAGTGGACGTCCTATGGCTGAAATGACGAAACTGGTACCAAAAGAAGTTCAAACTCACTGCATAAACCCGTTAACAATCACGCCCTGGAAGCCCTTAGTGCTCTTCATCTCACTGGCCAAGCTATCAGCCACCTGCTTGCTCAACTCTTCATACTCCTTAGTCCCGGGGGCAGGCGGTCGGAAGCTGTCAGCTAAACCGGTTATCCGGATTAGCATGGTATAAGCGGTTAGACCTGGGATGGCCGGCTCGGTGGTTAGTTCTTCTTCTGGGGGCTCTGGGAATGGAAATAAATAGGGTTAATTTCTAACAGTGTGTAAGTCATTTTTGACGGTTTTAACATTTTGATGCCATTGGATGAAGGAAGACCGCGTGCTTTTTTCCGACCACTCTCCTTTAAAATGCACATTTTTGACTCACGCACTGTTAGAACTTCACTGACGATATAACTGAATGTTTCAATTTTTTTTTTATGTGGCTTGGTTCCAAGTAAAGATTTTTGCTTTCTTTAAAAAACTACCTACGGTTTATGAATAAATTTGGATCAAATTCTGATCAAAAACCAGACAATAAACCAAAATAATACTGTCTTAGCGCCTTAGATGAAATGGGAAAAAGCTCGGAAAAAGAATGACTGAGATGAAGAATTGATGAAATCCGCAGGAAAACCAAAGTAACCGCCATAGCCCGCAGAATTTTCAAACTAAGTTGCAATGGGCGAGGCACATAGCTCGTAGGACTGATGGCGTGATGTCTATTTGGACATAAAAAGTTCTTGAGTGGCGACCACGAGCCGGAAGACGTAGTGTGGGCAGGCCTACCACTAAGTGGACTGACGATCTAGTGAAGGTCGCGGGAAGTACTTAAATGCAGGCAGCGCAGAAATCCTTGGGGGAGGCCTTTGTCCAGCAGTGGACGTCATTTGGCTGAAAGGGACGAACGAACAGAAGAATAATAAGATTAATACAGGGTGGCCCAGAAGAAAGTTCACTTTTGAAAATTCAAGGAAACGAAAACTGTACATTTTATTAGAACTTTTACTATTGCAATTTAAAGGAAATTTAATGCAATTTATTTTAAAATTTAACTTTATTTAATTACATCGCCCAGGAGATTTCCTTGATGCTTACAACATTCGATCAACATACATCAAAATCTTGAAATGCGTTCGTTAGAATTACCTCGAAACCTATTTTCAATTTTTTTTCGAATGCTCAGCTTCAGTTGCTGCATGGTTGTTGGATTATAAAAGTACACTCTATTCTTAATGTAACACCACAAAAAAGAATTTTCTGGAATGAGATCAGGTCTTCCTGGGGGCTTTTTCAGCCTACCAGTATAGCGCTCTCAAAAATTTTTTTTTTTTTTTTATGCTAGCCAAGGCAGGTATTTGACCGCAATCGCACCTGGTGTTAAGTGAGATGCAGTCTAGGATGGTACATATCTGCCCTGTAAGTGCCTATTCACTCTCGCCTTGAAAACGCCCGGATTATAGTGTTCAGGAAATACAGCAGCAGGCAGCGAATTCCAGTCCCTAGCTGTTCGCATTATAAAGGAGTCGTCGAAACGCTTAGTGCGAGCTGGTGGAATGTCGACAATGTAGGGATGGTACGCTAGCCTGCGTCTGGTTCCCCGGTGATGGAAAGGGGCTGGTGGAATTAAGTTATATAATTCCTTCGCACATTCTCCGAAGTGTAGCCTGTCAATGCAACAAACCAATTAAGCAGGGGTGAAATCTCACTGCCTCTAAGAAGCGCTAATCTCATTCCAACAGACTTCTTTTTGTGGGGTTACCTTATGAGCAGAGTATACTCTAATAATCCAAAAACTCTGCAGCATTCATCCATCCTGAATCCATTTCGAGGTAACTCTAACGAAAGTTTTCCAAAATTTTGATGTATGTTGACCGAATGTTGTAAACGTCAAGGGAATCACATGTACGATAAAATTTATGAAAGAAAGTAAATTTTAAAATAAATTGCATTAAATTTCCTTTAAATTGCAATAGTTAAAGTTCTACAAAAATTAACAGTTTTCGTTTCCTTGAATTTTCAAAAGTGAACTTTCTTCTGGGCCACCCTGTATTTAGGATTCTTACCAGGGCCACAGGGCTTGATGCAGACCCTATTCTCGGAAATGACTGGCGTCTGCAAATGCTTGCTGGTGCGCTTGTTCACTGGCTCGAAGGTTCCGCCTTGCGTGATGAACATCATGTACAGGCACTGGGTATCTGTGAACGCGAGATCCTGGGAAAACAACGGAAAAATAAGTAACTTTGGATAAATATAAATAAGTATGAAGATATAAATTTATAAGTGATTTTGGATATACAGATATAAAGATATTGGATATATAGATAACGTTATCGATAAAGGTTCCTTTTTTCACAAACCGAAAACGAAATGTAAATATACCTACATTTCGATCAACACAGGGTTTTCATGTCATTGGTTTTAATAAAATTTACTTTTCAATTTGTTTTTAGCTTAAAGACAAAAGATTGTTATAAACAATCTGTGTGAATTGCCTATACCTACCACACAAAAAAATAGTTACGAAAAAGCACACCAATAAAGAGTATTATCATTTGGTCCAGCAGAGGACATCTTTTGACTGGAGGGAACGCTCAATTTCCTGGTCCCCACTGGGAGTCAAGACACTTACCTTCTGGTCACCAGTGTCCCTCTTCCTAACAAAGGTGAGGGTAGTCACACCATCTACCAGGCTGCCAGATTGCTTGTTCAGATCCTGACGCGGGTCGACCCTGGGTGCGGAGTAGCCTGACACCCAGGTGTCCATCAGGAATGGCCTTCCCGACCGGGATTCCACCCAGCCGATGACCGCGTCTGTTTGGGACTGGGATAAAAGTTATATTTAAATAATTTTATCTCTAAAAAGAGTTACAGTCACTGCGTACTAATGCTGATTAGAGGCATATTTTTTGTGTCAAGATGTTTGAACAAATATTAATTATGAAAAGATTTACTTTTTGCAAATCCGAGTACTTAATGCGACTTTCTATACTTTTTGCTGAAAGGGATTATAAAACTAATGAATATGAGAGCAAGTTATATGACAGCAAATATTTAAATAGGTAATTATCAAGGCAATGTATTATTGTTAAATTCTTTAAATATGAAACAAAAATATTAGGCCCATACGGCAATATCTATCCACTTCTTATACCAAAATAATAGAGTTATAATTTTAATAGTCATATAGTTTAAAGCTCAATTCATTAGATTAATGCCCGTTTTCACCATCAATCCCTAATTTTTAAGTGACCCCTATTAGACTAAGAGCTGGTAAACGCCAGACCTGTCTGTATGCTAACAAATAACATGAATTTTGTTTACATAGGGGTCACTTAAAATTAGAGAGTAATGGTGAAAACGGGAATAAGACTACAGAGTTCGGCTGATAGTTGGGCCCGATTCAAATTTTCATGGCGAATCGGCCAATGTATTTAATGTGCGCCTACTTTCATACATGTCCATACTAATTAACAGCCCGACCCAACTATCGGCCGACAAAAAATCTGTGCTCTACGCCTAGAAAATGCGCAACAAAAAATTTAAAATTAAACTCACCATTTTCCTATCATTGCTGAACCCAATCCCCGTCCACTGATTCGTATGCTTGGTCTTGATGGTAAACCGTATGGAATCCTTCCCCCTCTTCAATCCGAGATACTCCCAGGATGCGTGGTACTCGCAGGTGTTGTTGGCAACACTACAGTTGGCGGGGTGTTGCCAGTACCCCCCACATTTGTCGGGGAGGGCGAAAACTCCGCCGGAGAACGAGGTCTTTGCTTCTTCTGTTGGGAGTGATTAAGTTGTTAATCGTTTGACAATCTTCACACATACAGGATGTCCCAAAAACAATGGATAACCCTGCAACTCTAATATCCAATTTTGACCTCAGTAAAATTAATTACGACACCCTATATAGATCAAAAGGCTGTAAGCGGTCGTAATTTCAGGGTGTCTATGGACTATGGAGTTGTCGATGATAAGGGCAATGGGTGAAGGGATTTAAATTGTAATTAGCTACTCATAGAGCATTTCGCCTAATTTAATTAATGTTTCAGAAAATTAAACTGGCTCTTTCCTTGCGGAAAGGCTCTTACCAACGAGGATTCTTTGGTAATTGAAACAAAATAAAAATAAAATCACTAAAGAAGTTAAAGCTCCTCCACTCCTCGTTGCGACCCATGTCCATGATATTTCAACTGGTCTTGTCTATCTAGCTCCAATAGTACACAAAAATGGACCCTAATATTCTAGGAATACCGGCCACTCCTCTCTGCGATTGTTTGTCATCAGTACGCTGCTTTCAGCTCCAATGATACGGTAAAGTAGACTCTATTGCTCTTGGAATATGTCTCAAAATCACTCACCAAAGAAGTTAATCCTGGTCACTCCTCGCTGCGATCCATGCCCGTGGTATTTCAGCTCGTCTTGCCTGTAGAAGTCTCCGGTAGCAGCCGTCCCCTTTTCTATGCCCGAGGGGGGCGAGTGCACGTATTTGCTGGGCTCCTTATGTTACACTAAAATAGACTCTATGACTCTAGGAATAGCTGACCATAGAAGTTGAAGCTCGTCACTTCACGCCTACAGATGTATCCAGCACACTCCGCACTGGCTCCAATACTACACAAAAATGGACCCTAATTATTCTAGAAATACGTCTACATGACTTACCAAAGAAGTTAATCCTCGTCACTCCTCGCTGCGAGCCATACCCGTGGTATTTCAGCTCGTCTTGCCTGTAGAAGTCTCAGTGACCGCCGCGCCGTCCCCTTTTCTAAGTCCGAAGCGGGAGAGTGCACGTATTGGTTGGGCTCAGCTCCAATTAATGCTAAATTAGACCCTATTACTCTAGGAATAGCTCACCAAAGAAATTGATCCTAGTCACTCCTCGCTGCGACCCATGTCCATGGTATTTCAGCTCGTCTTGCCTGTAGAAGTCTCCGGTAGCAGCCGTCCCCTTTTCTATGCCCGAAGGGGGCGAGTGCACGTATTTGTTGGGCTCCTGTCCCCGTGCCCAGATGATGTGCATCAGGTCATCCACTATGGAGTGGTCGGTGGGTTCTTTGGCCTGAAAATAAGGGCAAAAAAGGTATTTGTTAAAGCATAACACGCTAAACACTGTGGTATTTTATTTAATTTTAATAAATGCCATTTTGCATTATTTGTAAAACAATAATAAATATTATAAGGGCTCTCGCCCACGGCGACTTTTTGTAGTGATGCTGTCGCGCGTTTTGTAAACGAGCGACTGTATCGATATAAACGCGCGACTGTTTCGGATGACATCGGAGAGAGAACGAAGGGAGGGTTACTGAATCGCTTTTGCATCTCGATAGAAGCGCGACAGTATTGCGTTTGTATCTATTTATTTATTACGGTATACCAACAACATTACATACAAAGTAATTACATGAAAATCTTACAATAGAAGTTTAGTGTGTATGCATGCCAATAACAGGTACACACAGCTTTGGCTAATATACTTAGTTTATTTCAATTAATAAGTAGATAAGAAGTACAGTCAACAGCATATCAGACCACATAATAATATATTTGTTGTAGAATAGCTCACATCGTATCGCGACAGAATCGCTACTGCATCGCTACAAAAAGTCGCCGTGGGCGAGGGGCCTTACAGAATGAAACTATAGCTTATCATCCAATGGGAAGAATTCATTGCTATACCTTAATCTTCTTCCTGAACATAATGGTGGTGACGCCATTCTCCTCGAACCCAGCGGCTGCTGTGACGTCATCGTGGCCTCCCCAGAAGGTGTCCACGCGTGGGGTAGACCTGGATAATCAAACATATTAACCATCAATTTATTCCTAATCAAAATTTTTAAGAGACCCCTATAAAAACAAAATTCCTGATAAGCGTTACCATGTCACTTAAAAATTAGACATTGATTGTGAAAACGGCCAAAAATCAAGGTACTTTTAGTTTATTAAGAACTTATCTGTAAGATAAAGTTAAACTGTCAGAATATTATCCGATATCCGGTGTTTTTTGTATGGAGTTTGACAGACTTGACGTTTGTTATAGTTAAAGTAAGATGGTGCAATCCAGCCTTAGGAAATCATTATATAGGAAAACGCAGCGTGTGACGTCCACCCACAAGGTGGACCGACATCATAAAGGTAGCAGGAAGGCGCTGGACGCACGCCGCTTCCAACCGGGCAACATGGAAAGCATTGGGGGAGGCCTATGTTCAGCAGTGGACGTCCTATGGCTGAGATGATGATGATGACGATGATGACTCGAATTACCTGTCTCTAGTGTAATAATCCAGCACGCGATGGTAGTTTCCTCTAGCGGTGCCTATGACGATATCGGTACAGTCCATGGGGTTGAAATCGAACTTGGGAGTGTATTCGTGTGCAGGGAAGTAGCCTGGAATCACCAACAATCGTATTGGACACTGGTCTAAAAGACAAATAACCATGTACTTTGATTATGGGCCCAGATTTTTAGCGTGTTCTCCATGAAGAACAGTTTGTATAGTAATAATATGATTTGAAGTAGAACTACGCTTATAGCTCAGTCATATTGTAATTTACTGCTCTATGACTATAGAAATATGCGTCTTAAATATATTTGTTTATAACACATTATGGCTGGCTAGAATTAATTTTAGGAGTGTAATTCTCAAATATTTAATCAGGGAATTTTCTAAATTGCTCAACAAGTAATCCACAATATGAAAATTAGTCATCGCCATGGAGTTTAAACTTTAGTTAGGTAAGTATATTTATTTATTCCAAATCAATAAAGGGTCACTTAAGTTGCATAATCTAAGAAAAGACTTTTAGTAAATGAACAGGAAAATAAGTAAATTATTTAATTGTGGAAGTTATTAATTATCGCTGAAAAGAACATAAGAAAGTTAATACACAATTAAAACATCAGTTCATCAGTTAAAAGATCAGAGGAAAGGGTAAGGACAGAAGGAAGATTGACTTGAAACAACGAAGCGAAGCAAAGGCAAGGCACGAAGAAGCATAGAATAAAGAAGCATAGAAGACACAGATAGAAAAAAGTAAAAGATAAGTTAAGTACCTACTCGTGCAGAACACAAAGATAGATTATGGGCCGTATACAAACGACGATCAAATATGAATCCAGGATTGTCTTTGGTCAAACTAAAGTTAGTACAGTAAAAAGTTAGTGATTTTGTGCCAATGACAGGACAAACTTTCTTGTAAATTCATATTTGAGAGTCGTTTATGAATAAGGTCTGAATAAAATACAATTTCAAAACTTTGAGTCAACATTTTACAATTTTAGTTCATCTATGAATGATTGTACATTTGGAAATTATTTGTTATGGTAAAAGACAAGTTATTTATTATGGATTAAGATAAATTAGTCACAGAACAAATATATTAGTCTTCTTCTAACATAAATAATTTAGTAAACGGTTTCTATGTCAGTAATTAATAATTAATAATTTCTATGTCAGTAATCAGTAATTAATATTAATGTCTACTGTGCTATACATAAATGCTATACAAATATAATTCAATATAATCCATCGATAAAATTAAATTGTCACCAAACTTTTCATATTTTTAATAGTTTTTTATTTCATTTTATCAATGGAAATAAGTTGTTCAAGTGGGTACAGTTGACTGATGATTATTCTTTCTCATTTCGCTTTGTACCAACTCAAACAACCAAAGTATAGTCTGCTCCAATAAAAAATTGCAATCTCGCAAACAAAAATGGACGCCTAGGTACAGCACACTAACTAAATAATGTTATAAGTAGATCACTGTTGTTTTTTATCGTATTAAATTGCTGTAGAATATTATTATTGGTGCAGACTATACTTTTTAAGTGCAAAGCTAGTGCGTTACCTGCTTCTTCGGTAAGTCCCTTGACTAGCAATATCTCGGTATCCGACTCGGCTTTAGTGGGTTCTGGGGATGGTTCTGGCTTAGATTTGGGTTCTGGGGTTGGTTCTGGCTCAGATTTCGGTTCTGGGGAGGGTTCTGGCTCAGATTTGGGTTCTGGGGAAGGTTCTGGCTCAGATTTCGGTTCTGGGGAGGGTTCGGGTTCTGATTTTGGTTCTGGAGAAGGTTCTGGCTCGGACTTTGGTTCTGGGGAAGGTTCTGGCTCAGATTTAGGTTCTGGGGAAGGTTCTGGCTCAGATTTGGGTTCTGGGGAGGGTTCGGGTTCTGATTTAGGTTCCGGGGAAGGCTCAGGCTCGGCTTTAGGCTCTGGTTGAGGGCTTGGTTCTGATTTCGGTTCGGGGGACGGTTCTGGCTCTGATTTGGGTTCTGGCGTGGGTTCGGGCTCTGATTTCGGTTCTGGGGATGGTTCAGGTTCAGATTTGGGTTCGGCCGTGGGTTCGGGCTCAGATTTCGGCTCTGGGCTGGGTTCCGGCTCTGATTTAGGCTCCGCTGTAGGTTCTGGCTCAGATTTAGGCTCAACTGTAGGTTCCGGTTCGGATGTAGGTTCTGAAGTGGGTTCTGGCTCAGAAGTGGGTTCTGAGGTAGGTTCAGGCGTAGGCTCTACCTCAAGCTTAGATGCACCCTTAGGTTCTAGCACCGATTTAGATCCCGGAATGGGATTCAGCGCGGAATGATTAAGTGGTAAGCGTTTAGACTTTGGTGCAAACTTTGGTTTAGATTTAGGCTTTGGGGTAGACTCAGATTTGGGTTCTGGGGTGGGTTCTGGCACGGAGGTAGGTTCGGGTTCAGGGATAGGGGTGGTTTCAGGGACAAAAGAGGTCGTTGTTTCCACATCTGCAAAAATAAGGGGACCATGCAGCATTATATACATTAGTGTTTCTCACAGACCACATATCCCATAGATGTCGGGTATAATGACATCTCACAGGCTGTTTCAAGCTTCATAGCTATTGGGACCCTATGACGCCCTTTTTATATCATCCCTGAAACATTTAGCTGACCTAAAAATAGGTAGACGTAATAAAAACGTGCTTTAGTCAAATTTTGAGGCTATGTGTCCTGTGATATATTATACATTTACTGTTAGTTTGTTGCCAATTATGTGCTATTTTTGCGTGGCGAATGCCTGCTTTTAGCGTTCGTGTGTTATAGTGCAGTTTTTAATACTGTATTTATAATTGCTTGATTTAAAGGTATTGGAACTTACTGCTGTTAGTTGATGTTTCGCGTTTTCGGCGTCCTGTAAAAAATAATACAGTAAAATATTAAAAATTCTGTCAACCAGGATAACCTACATAATTATAAAGTATAAATAAAAGTTTGTGAGGCTAGTTATGTTTTTAAGTCCTTTACAGAAAAACTATTAGGCGAAAATAGTCCAGTCATTTCGTCCGAAAAAAAGGCAAATAAAAGAAAATGAATTTGCGCTTCTAATTTTTTAATATGTTGTA